GAACATATGAAAATTTATAAAAAGTTCAAGGGTTAATTGTGTAACTTTTGAAAACTTATTTGTTAAAGGAAGGGTTGATTATGAATTATATAGTATAAAATAAGGGTCAAAAATGTAAATTGATGCGGACATGAATCGAACCATAGGCTTGTTCGAAAAGAAGAGGATGCGGATGTGCTTATGCCAATTGAGCTACACATGATTTATGCAAAAACTTGAATAAAATAATATATATTTAATTATTAAATATATAATTTAATTAAACTCGGGCCCTATTTTTTTCGGGGCCCTGTGCGGCTGCACCTCTTCCCCCCCCCCCCTTAAAACCGGGCTTGTTCGCACCCTCTTATATAGGTGCGAGGGCTCGGACCGAAGGGGGAGGAGGGAACACACGTCGGTTCGCAGGCGAGGGGGAAGGGACACACGTCGGATCTCGAAGGCGAGGTGGCTCGCTTCGGACAAGCCACGGGTGCGACACGCGGTGAGCTTCGGTTGGACCTCCCTTCGGATGACTCATCGGCATCGGACACGGGGCAGCATGCGAGGCCGAGACCGAGACACGCATGCGAAATTCCTCAGATTTTGTGCCCAAATCTTTAAAAATTCATAACTTTCGCATACGAGCTCCATTTCTGACGTTCTTTATATGCACGCGTAGGCGAGATTATACTTTACAACTTTCGTTTAGACTCCGTTGGCTAATTTTGAATTTATTTTTAATATTATTATTTTTAACAGACCGGGACAGAAAAAATCCGTTAAAAATTCATAACTTCTTCATCCGATGTCCGTTTTCGTCTGTCTTTTTACCGTTGTACTACTATTGACGAGACCTTCGATTCTTGTTTAGGTTGCGTCGGCTAAAAATGTCACAACTAGGAATTTTGATGCTTTGTAACTACAACAATTATATCAATTATGAACCAACAATGTGAAAACATGTATGATGCTTATTCAATAACAACAAAACTTTCATCAAATACTTCATTCAAGCACTACAAATAGTCAACAAAGAATTGGAAACCCTTGAAATCCCGGTTTAAGTCCATTTTGGACTAGGATTTCCTTATCGGGCCTAATGGACCAATAAGCTTCCAATTTAACTATCTTGAACATAGAACTCTCAAAGGGGCCCTAATTGGACCCATATGCTTGAAACTTAATATTTTGGGCTTTATAAGCCTAAAATAAACTAGGTTAACTTTAATGGGCCTCATTAGGTCACAACAAATTTAAATAGCCCTAATGAGTCATAAAAAGCATTCTTTGATTTAATTGGGCCGAAAATCACCTAATGGGATTATAATTTGGGCTTAAGCATTAAAGGGCCCAAATCTTCTTTTCTCCCTCTCCTTTTCTCGGCCCAACAACCCAAAAGAGAAATGGTTGACTTTCCATTGCCACCTCACCATTATCTCTTGGTTCTCCATGCATGCAACTCATGTTTCTAAGCAAACATCTCATCAAAGGTCTCTCTCCTCTCCTCTCTCTTTTTCTCTCGGCCGAAACCAACACAAACACACACACCTCACCAAAAATTCTCCCTAAAATCACTCTCAAGATCATCCTCTTCTCCTTTGAAGATCTCGAAAATTTGGCTTGAAGTCTAAGGATTTTCATCAAGTAGTTCACATCCTTGGTAAGTTATTTCTTTGATTCATAACATATCTTCTTCATTTCATCAACAATCTCCCTTATCTCATACAAAATTCGTGATCTTGTCCCTTAGAACACATCTAAGTCAAAAATCTTCCAAGAAGACTTGCTATGATCGAATTTTCTTCATCTCTTCCTTCAAAAACCGAAACCACAACTCAAGGTGAGCTTCATACCCCTCTCTTTTTGGTTTTTATATGTTTTATGGGGGAGAATACAAGAAAAATGTGTAGATCTATGTGTATGTGTATGCTATGTGTGATTTTATGCATGTATGTATGATTTTATGTGTTTTTGTGATGAACATGTAACCAAAAAGGGATGATAACTCGAGATCTATGACATGAGAAAGGAAACAAACATGATCTAAGTTATTTTACACTAAACAAGTCAAGAATAATAACTTATAAGATTATGATAAACATATTTCAACATAAAACCCATTTTTGGGCTTAAATTGTCAAATATACAAATTTGGGTACAAGGTTGCCAAACCACGGTTTCTTAAGGCCAAAGAGTCAAAACAGTTTCAATAATTGTTTTTATGTATATTATAATTTTCAAAGGACTTGAAATGTAAATTTTTAGCTTAATGGGCTAATCTTGGGCTTTTCGGCCTAGTAAGCCCAAAATTGCGAAAAATGACAATTAAAGGGGCTGAAATGAAAATTTCTTCAAAACAGGGGATAAAAAGTGTAACAAAACTATTTCAAGGGTCAAAAATGCCTTTCATTTCCAAAAAGGATAAAAAATGTAAAGTTTTTGGATTTTGGGCCAAAACTGTAAAAATTGCGAAAAGTTGGGTTTTAATCGGAAAATACTATTCTGAAAGGGCTGAAACTGTTAACAAAAATAAGTTTTGAGTTAAAACTATCAATTCAACAATCTATGATGCAAAAGTGTCAAGAAAATGTTTTAAGGGCTAAAAATGTCTTTTCTTTTTATATAAAGGACTAAAACTGTTATTTTCATAAAAAGAAAGGTGTTGAAAAGGTCAAACCACTATTTTAAGCAAATTATTTCATTGAGTCAAAATACAAAACCACAACTTACGAAAAATTGAAAGATGAATACACGTTTAACTCCAAAAATCGTTATAAACAAATCGATCGGTCTCGAATCGATACAAAAACTACGATCGTTCAATCAAACCCTCCAGTAGATATGCAATACCTAGACGAGTAAACCTTCAAACTTTGGGCTTGAGAGTTTCAAATCATGCTTGTTGGACCTTGCAAGTCCATTAACATGATCTTTGGGCCCAAAGGGATAACGCTTATATGTTATTGGGACTCCTATGGCCCAATTCCATATAAAAGGACTTTCAATGGCTTTTATGTGCTATTGGGCCCTAGTGGTCCATTAGTATTGCTAGTAAGGTCAAAGTAATCAAATGCGAGTTGGGCCCACGTGTCCTTCGCATCCCCGACGCCTAAGGTACTTACGATAGTAGCAGGACTTCGTACTCCTCTTCTCTTCGTTCGCTAAGGCTTATGAGTAATCAAAGTAGACTGAATTAGGACGTTATTCAACAGTAATCAAGGTGGTTTTGGATTAAGTGAGTAACAACGGACGACACCTCTATGGGACGTTCGTAGTTGGCTGTTATAACTTGTCTTCACCGACATCGTTACAACGACTCACTAGGTTTATCCAACACCATCTGAGTATTCAAGGATGAGTACAAGAGCCATTCGTTGTGGCGGTATAACAATTAGTAATCACGTATATCTTTCGACATCGGAAAACATCGGGTTTTCCGGGGAATCAATACTACTCTACTACTACTTCCTCGGAATTTCTATAACTATAATACAAAACACCCTTTTTATATATATGCTTTGAAATCATTCATGCATCAACTTATGGATCTTCACACTTTGATAAACTATTGTCTTTCAGAAAATATCGGATTTTCTGGGTTTTACAAACTATACAACATTTTATCACAACAACTTTGCTTATGAACTCACCAACATTCCATATGTTGACGTTTTCCAAAATAACTTGTATTCTCATGTAATAGGTAAGCGGAAGGGTAATACCAAGTATGTTAGGATGTTTTGTTTTGAAAACTCTGAAACATTTTGTGTTATAATGTGTAATATTTAAAACAATGTACTGGATGTAAACAATATCAGTTGTAATGTATTGATGCATGGTGATGTTTATGTTATGATTCATGTATATTCATTGTGATGGTATTCAATTTAAGTCATGCGAGCCCCCGGACGTTTCCGCCGTCTGTTTTCGGGGGTGTGACAAAAAATCACTCGATCTTTATTTCAAGTTTTTAGCTGTCTACTGCTATTCCGAAACTTAGAAAAATCATAACTTCCTCATACGAAGTCAGATTTGGACGTTCCTTTTTATGAAAATTATCGGTTTAACGAATACTACGACTTTCATTTAGATCACTAAAGCTAAAAAATAGTTTATCGAAAACTCACCTTTTACGCTAAATAGTGTTTGCCGGTTTTTGTCGCGGATCTTCGATTGGTCATAACTTCCTCGTTATAACTCGGATTTTGATGAGGTTTTCGCCTAAATGTTTCTAACGAAATTATCTACAACTTTCAATAATAAAATTTTACTTATTTCATATTTTATATTTTTCGTTAAATTTCAATATTTGACATTTGATTGGAATCTCATAAGACTTCCAATATTTTCCGAGTGATTCTAAACATAGTTTTACTTCATTTCTAGTAAAAACTATCTGTTAGAACTCAATGCTCAATATCATATAATATTTCATAATATTATTTATTTGTAAACTACAAAACACGATAACTGAACGTGTATGTTACACTTTTGAAATAAGATACGTTGGAGGTTTGTGGGTGATGATTGAGTTTACTTCCAAAAATGCATGTAAAAACTTTTGAGTAGTAAAGCAATAGATCATTGGATTTCAGAAAAGAGAGCATGGGATTGAAACTTCGTTCCCTCAGAACATTTAGTGTAGGTTGATGTTGAAGGACTACCTCTTCCCACGTGGAGTAAAGAGTCATTTAGAAAAATTATCTCTAGATGGGGAAAAATTGCTCAACTAGATGATGACCATGGAGAAGACATTTACAAGAACAGGATCTGCATATTAACTTCTGTTCAAACTATAATCTCAGAGGTAATCAAAGTTTGTGTTGATAAGGCTACATACTGGATTAGAGTAAAGGAAGCTCCGGGGTGGACTCCCACATTTGTTCATGATTTTTCCTGCTCCAGAACTAGATGACAGTGAAATACAAGGCAGTGAACAAAACGATGAACATCTTCATTATGCTGAAAGGAATGAAGAAGTCTCATCAGATCCGTTTGGTATTTATGATGTAATTGAAAAAATGAAAGCGGATGAAGTCAATAAGGATATTAAAAAAGGCTTTAATAGTTGGGGTAATGGGAAAAAGAATAAAAATAATAGAGAGGGGCTTCAGGGGCAAAATGGGAATTCAACAACAGAAAATGCTTTTTATTATTCTACTGCTGACTGTCGTGCTTCCAGCTCACCTGTTGCATCACAAGCGAATTCTTATGCCGCCCCTGGACCGGTTGCCACTCTCCCAACTGCCGCTGCTACTGTTCAGGTCTCTGCTGCTGTTCCAATCGTTGCTGCTGAAGAATCGCATACAACCCCTGATGTTTCACCCAACCTCACAGCAGCTCCTGTTGTGAATTCCGAGAACCCTTCAACCCATAATGCTAACTCTGGGTCACTAAAAAATGGAATAGGTACCTTAAATAAGCAAGCTCCGATTGGGTTTTTAGGAGGATATACTTGCATGTCGGGCATTCCATCTATGGATGAATCTTTGTCTCATCCACCTGGTTTTTCAAATATGATTCATGGCGATAATGATGTGTTATCAGAAGGATCTTTTAATACCGACTCAATTTTGGTTGAATCCAAAAAAACGATTTCACTGGGAGAAAATATTGGTCTTAATATGAATAGTTGTTCTGAACATGTTAAAAATACTATTCAAGAGGAGCGATTTAGAAAAAAAAAATTAGATATGAATTGTCTTTCTATTAACATTCAAGGAGCGGGTTCTGTAGAGAAACGAATGTGGATAAAATCTCTCTGTGTCAAATTTAAAAGTCAATTTTTTGGCTATTCAAGAAACGAAAAAGGAGTCAATTGAACTCTCTCTTGTTCGATCTTGCTGGGGTAACCTCGTGTTTTCTCAGTCTTTCTCACCTTCTCGTGGTGCTTCGGGTGGTATTTTGGTTATCTGGGACCCAAATATCTTTATTCATAATAAAGTTATCATCTCCGATTGGTATGTGGCGGTGGAGGGAATTTGGGTTGTTTCTAGAATGGCTGTGTTACTAATTTCTGTTTATGCTCCCCAAAGTGTTGATTGTAAAATTAAACTTTGGGATGAAATCTCTACCTTGATTGCTTCTTTCTCAGGAGAAGTTGTGGTTATGAGAGATTTTAATGAAGTAAGAAATGAATCTGAGAGGTTTGGTTCTCAATTCCACCATATCCCAGCAAGAACTTTTAATCAGTTTATTGAGCAGAATGATTTAGTTGATATTCCTATGGGTGGGCCTCGCTATACATGGAGTGATAGATGGGGATCTAAGTTCTCAATGCTTGATTGTTTTTTGGTCTCCGAAGGTCTTATGCTGCGTTTTCCTCACATTATGGGCTTGGTTCTGGATAAAAATATCCCTGATCATCGTCCTATTGTTTTATTATAGCATCATGTAGATTATGGTCCGTCACCTTTTCGTATTTTTCTATCTTGGTTTGAGCTGGAAGGTTTTGATGAAGTGGTTCACAATTCTTGGAACTCCAATGTTGTTGGGAACTTGAATGATAATCCTTGGGTTATTTTTAAGAAGAAGCTCTAACTTCTTAAATCTAACCTAAGATTATGGAACTCTAGTGCTCGAGATCGTTTGATTAGTAAAAGGAAAATTCTTCAAGATAAAGTTGAAAAGATTGACGCTTCTCTTATGCTTGATGGGGGTAGTGTTGATCTTCGTGAACAAAGAGTTTCGGCTATTAAAGAATTGACAAACTTGGATCACCTTTCTAGAGTCGAGTTGGTGCAGAAAGCGAAAGTTCAGTGGGCCATTGCAGGGGATGAGAACTTTGGTTTTTTTCCATGGCATTATTAATCGGAAGAGGCGTCACCTCACTATCAGAGGTATCATGATTGATGGTGTTTGGGAGGACGATCCCGGGAGATTTAAAACAGAGTTCCATAACTATTATAAAATCTTTTCTTGAGGAAAAAAGGAAGACGCCCTTATATTGATCCTAATTTGTTCCATACTCTCACGAAAGATCAAGTTCTTTTTCTTCAAGCTCATTTCTCTCGTGATGACATTAAAAGGGTTGTTTGGGACTGTGGCTCTGATCGGGCTCCTAGGCCGGATGGTTTCTCTTTTGGATTCTTGAAAAAATTTTGGGATCTTATTTCGGATAATTTGGTGGATTTCATTCAACATTTTCATAGTCATTGTTCGGTTCCTAAAGGTTGCAACGCTTCTTTCTTTACGGTTATTCCAAAAGTTCGTGACCCTAAGAATATTAAAGACTTTAGACCTATTAGTCTAATAGGGTTCCAATACAAAATTATTAGTAAACTTTTAGCTAATAGGTTGGCGAAGGTTATTGGTTCTGTTATTAGTCTGGAGCAGTCTGCTTTTGTTAAAGGCAGACAAATCTCAGATGACCCTTTTCTTCTTAATGAGGTGGTTGCTTGGAGCAAATCTACGAATAATCCTCTTATGATTTTTAAAGTTGATTTTGAGAAGGCTTTTGACTCGGTCTCGTGGGAGTATCTTTTGGAGATAATACCGATTATGGGCTTTGGTAATTTGTGGTGTGCCTAGATCATGGAGCTTCTCCGGTCTGCTAGGGCTTCTGTTCTTGTTAATGGGTCCCCTACTGATGAATTTCAAATCCAAAGAGGTCTGCAACATGGAGACCCCCTATCCCCTTTTTTATTCATTCTGGTTATGGAAGGCCTTCATGTTGTTTTACGAAAAGCTCATAATGCAAGAGTGTTTTGAGGTATTTCTATTAGTGGGATTGATATCTCACACTTGTTTTATGCTGATGATGCTGTCCTGATGTCTACTTGGGACCCAGAAAACGTTTCTCATTTCATTCGTATATTGAGGTATTTTTATTTAGCTTCGGGTCTTAAAATCAATTTACAAAAAAGTAAATTGATTGGAGTGGCAGTTCCTTTTGCTCAGGTTGAGGTGGCGGCTCGTAATGTCGGGAGTGCTCCTGATACTTGTCCTTTTATTCACCTTGGAATCCCTGTTGGTCAGAATATGTCTCAGATTTCTGCTTGGTCCCCATTTGTTGATCGTTTTCGCTCAAAACTCTCGGGTTGGAAAGCGAAATGTTTATCGTCTGGAGGTCGTCTCTCTTTGATCAAATCGGTTCTCGGAAGCCTTGGTAGTTATTTGATGTCTATCTTCACGGTTCCAATCGTTGTTGTTAATACGTTGGAGTCTCTTCACGCCAGGTTCTTCTGGGGTGATGACTTAGATGAGAGACGCATTCACTGGGTTCGTTGGAATCGGGTTTTAGCTTAAAAAAAGGACGGGGGTCTCGATGTTGGCAGTCTTTTTTCGTTGAATAGGGCCTTTCTCTATAAATGGCATTGGAGATTCTTTCATAATCCGGATCTGATATGGGTTAAAATTGTCAAAGCTCTTTATAGTCAGGATGGTGGTTGTAGTTCTCTTTCTCCGAGAAGAGGCTCGATTGGTCCTTGGAATGGTGTTATTCGGACGCTGGTGCAACTTAATAATCATGATCTTGATCTCAGGCATTTTAGCCCTATTAGGGTTGGTGATGGAAATATGACTTCTTTCTGGCACGATGTGTGGAAGGGGGATACCCCCTGGCTGATCCTTTTCATAGGATTTATGCTCTTGTTCCTCATAAAACTATATCGGTTCGAGATAGAGTGCTTCTCGGATGAGACTCCGATTGTCTTATGCGAACTCCTAGAGGGGGTATTGAGGAGACTCAATGGACTGATTTCACTACCTTAATGCAGGGGGTTCTTCTTTATTCCGTTCCAGATCGTTTGGGGTGGACTATTGATGGCTCGGATTCTTACACCGTTTCTTCTCTCAGATCTTTTTTGGATAGTCACATGTTACATACGGGGGGTCCTAAAACTCGTTGGAATAATTGGGTGCCTATCAAGGTGAATATCTTTATTTAGAGATTGCAGTTACGAAGTATTCCTACTAGAGAGAACCTTTCTCTCCGTGGGATTACTATGGATTCGATTCTTTGTCCCGTTTGTTCCAACACCATTGAATCTATTGATCACCTATTCCTCCATTGTAATCAGTTGATTGAGATATGAACTCAAGTTGCTGTCTGGTGGGGCATCCAAACTCCTAATTTTTTCTCTATTGACCAACTCCTTTCGTTGTCTGATTCTCTTTCTTTAAAAAGAGGGCAACGACAAGCTTTTGACACTGTCATCTTGACTACCTTATGGTGTTTATGGAATTTTCGTAACTCCATAATTTTTGGAACGGCCCATCTCAGGAAATCTTTTATTTTAGATGAAGTGATTGATAGATCTTTTTTTTAGATTTCCAATAGGTGTAGAAAAGCTAAAATTAGTTGGACTTCTTGGCTTTATAATCCTCTCTTAGCTTGTAATTTGTTGTGATGACTTTTTTTTTCTAGCTCCTTCCTAGTTTTTTTATAAAATCTCTGCCGTTCTAAAAAAACCAAAACTGGACGAGATCAGAGCAAGGATCAGTGGCGTAGCCAAGATTTTATTTTAAGGTAGGCCAAATAATTTATAAAATATGAACGAGATATGAAATCTAGAGTTTTGAATGGGTGGGTATAATATCTATATATATATATATATATATATATATATATATATATAATAATTTACTGTTAAATAAAATGAACTAAGGTTGTGATATGACCCATCCCATTCAAAACTCTAGATTTCATATTCCGTTCATATTTTATAAATTATTTGGTCTACTTTAAAATAAAATCTTGGCTACGCCACTGATCATTGCTCTAATCTCTCCAGTTTTGTTTTTCTTTTTTAGAACGGCAGAGATTATATATATATA